GACATTTGCTGTTTTTTAGGTTATATTGAGGACATTGGCATATCATACGTAATTTCCACATGTAATTTCTCATTCAACTCTACATATTATATCCAAATGATGATGATAATTTTCGAGTTTTTGATTTTTCAACTCCAGCATAATCTTTGTGAGGCAGTGAACAAATTTGTCTGATACGTATTACCAAATGGGACTGTTCTTAGGCAGTAGGTACCTATCAATAGATGCATTTTGATTTCAGACTAAGCCTTATGGTTGAGAAATGGTGAAAAATGTTATGAAGTTATTTAAACTAATGTACTCATATGTCATGTGTGCTGTATATACATGTTGGGAATCATTTTTTGCATTTTTTCACGATCACTTGATATTTCCTGAATGTAGGTATAATTTTTTAAATGGTAGGGCATGTGCCTCTTCTTTTAATCCTCCGTTTTAATCAAGACTATTTCTACTAAAATGCATTCAAAAACTTGTGGATTGGATAATTATAGGTACAATGAGAAAGTATAATATGTGATTTCCTATTAGTTTTACCTCGAATATTTTGCTGATGTATTTACCAATTTTCCCCATTCGGTCACTTCACTTTCCATGTTTTAAGTTCATTTGCATTTGATGGAAAGCTGACAAATTCAAATTTGCCATCCACCTAATTGATACAGCCTAACGCAGCACATTTTACCATCCTACCAAAACAAAATTGAATAATGTCGTACCTTCCAGTAGTCGCGCCTTAAAAAGGACATAGGCTGTCGCTGCGGAGTCTGACTCCGCAATGGAGAATTTGGGTGGTTTGAACATGATGACTTGAATTTTTCCAAAGATTTCATCAATATGCCTTTGGACATGAATATCTCTACGAAGTAAAATGTCAAAATTGCAATAAAAATATATTTGTTCAATAACAATACCCAAATTTACCATAAGGCTACAAGATTTGATATATGGAATTCGAACAAAACACTATAATTTGAGGACAACCTGAAAATGTTTCAATCTCAAACCACCAATGACTCATCGGCAATCTCTGCAAAAGAATGAAGCGGGTTCTAATAAACACATGAATTTTTCACATGTACTACAATAAAATTGGGTGTGTCTATTTTTTTATCACAGTAGCATCGATCATGTGTGTTTACAAAACGGTATTTTATGAAATATCATTCATCAAATGAGACAAAATTTTTGTCTAAAACGCCCAAAATAGCTGCAAAGTGTAACTGCAATATGCAATATAACTAAGACGCCACAGGTCGCTGCGGAGTACGACTCCGCAATACGCAATGAAATTCGAAAATTGCACATCGGTAATACTCGATTCGTACTGAAGTCGTCATTTTAGGAAGGTACTGAGTGCGGCGTGATGAGGGAATGAAGTATATTCGAGAAAACTCAAGTTTTATATTCGTGCGGAGCGATACTCCGCGTGCGACTACTGGAAGGTTAAGATCAAGTATGAAGTTAAAAGTTTCTGAGATCTCTTTTAACGCCTATGAATGTGACGTGACATCAATGCCATGTCAGGGACTAGGGTTTGCAATCCCGGTGTGATGATACAAGCCCGGGATTCCGGGATTTCTGTATCGGGATTCGAATTTGAAAAAAGTATGGGGTATACTGTAGATACGTAATGATTACATTAATACTCGTATATGAACTAAAAATTTAATATGTGCATCAAAAAGTAGAGAAGAAAAGGCCGAACATTTATTACTTACAGTGTTGACTAAACCAGGAGCGTACAAAAATCCACTCGTACAGAGTATCATCTGCGAGTCGAGTGCTGATTTATGTGCAAATGGTTCTAGCTGCGGAAAATACTCTTTCATATTCTACATTAGTTGGTAGTAGGTATAGTTGTTTACCTTTGTTGTCACCATTTTCTAAAAGGGCAATTTCCTTTGTTGAATTTGATGATATCTTATTTTGTAGAGATTGAGTCGAGTACCTCCATTATAACTTTCTTTCAGGAACTTCGAATATAATAATCTGATTCACTTGACGACAGCGAAGTCTTATTGATCAAAACTAATCCCGAAAAACCCGGGATCTAATCGGATGTGGTCCCGGGATTCTCGGTATAAAAGTATCATTAGGACCCTGGGATTTCCGAAATCGGTATTTCGGGATTGCAAACTCTGTCAGGGACGCCAATACACGAAACCAAAGTCACCAGATGATTAAAAGAGAAAGGAGCTATGATCTGTCTGTACCCTGTTAGATGACAAATACGTCAGTTTGCATCAAGGGACCCTAGTTAAGATATAAAAGTTGATCATTCAATTCAAGTGCAGAAATGAATGAACGGAATTACCAAGTTTTAACTTGATAGTGAAATCGGTAATGATTGTGAAATTACAGATTAATGAAAAGCGGTGTGCAGAAATCAGCCTTCTCACTCTTCTAAAGAGCTCATCTGTCATTACACTTTACTTCTACTACAGATGACAAAAACTTCTGTTGTTGGGTTGCGTGATAATTGGTAACAACTGATAATGTGTGAGCTTTTAAATAACGCCCATAAATCACATAATACCGGGTGACACAGGAGACATGTAGCAGCTTGTAGTTTTTTATTTGAAGAAATGAAATTTTGAAATTCACAGGATGTATATAATAAATGGTAGCGCACTTTACGAACTTAACGACAATTTTTTTCAACCACCTGTTCGACCGGAAGTGACCCCAACTTTTTTTTTAAATGTCACCCTGTACACATTTCTTCAGTCAATCTTTTTCGCCTTGAAATTCTCAATCCAACCATGTATCACAAAGTGGCATTTATTTCTTAATCCGCTGTCGAATTGCTTTTTATTCAAAAAGAATAAGTTGGCTGTGACATGAATTCGATGATATATCGACACTTGGTAGGCTTTGAAATTCAAATATCATTAGTAAACCGATATTATTCAAAATGTTTTGATATTTTGATCAATGTCTGCAGGTTGTCAATAGCTTGTTTGAGTCAAGATGAAAACCTTTGAAAATAACTCATGATATCGAGGAATCTAAGATAGGAACATATTTTTACGAATTCAGCTACTCGTACAGAAACTATCTGTCTTTTATTTTCGCCATGTACCTATCACATGATCTTCCCATTTGGAATAATAAAACTAAGATTGTTCCTCTTATACGATGATCCACAGGGCTATCAGTCTATTTTTTCATAAGTATTTCACTTAGTAGGCGGTGTAACTACACACAATGTTTTATGTGTTTGACAGTTAATCGATTGCATCAATAATTTTTCTTCTTCATTTGTGTGTTGATTAAAATTGCATATTAACAACATATCGACTTCTTGAATACATTTTCCGTCTCTATTGATAATATGCAATCAGTAGCGCATCTAGGATTTAGTTGTGTAAATATGTTGAAGTAAGAATGTTACTTTATTTGACATTTATCGAGTCACGCGTGCACCGGCCGAGTAGGTCATTTTCTATCTCTTTTTGAAGCAAAACTGAATGGTCAAGTCGAATTTCAAAATTTATTATTATTGAAAGTTTATCCCATATAATTTCTGAAAGACAGTACCTATAATGAGAATGAGTAGGTAATAAAGTATGAGATATCCTATTTTGTCCATCTTCTAATTCAAAAGTTCGACAAATGGACATAACTGACAGAACTTGACAACTGAACAATGTGATCGAAGATAATCTCAATATTTGGTTCTTCCAGTTATCACTTCGATTCACAACCAAGCATTAGGTAGGTGGGCAAAATGGATAGGAATATGAAAGAATGGATATTCATACTGATTCAATATAGTTAATTCTAGTGATATATATCGGTTGGTTCGGACGAAAGAATATCACTACTATCGTTGAATAAAATAATTCCGTGATAACAATTCATTTCATTTCACTTCAGTTAATTTTTTTCTAATCCTTAGGGGGGGTATTTACCCCCTGTACCCCCCCTTGGATGCGCGCCTGTATGCAATTTTAATCAACACACAAATGAAGAAGAAAAATTATTGATGCAATCGATTAACTTTCAAACACATAAAACATTTTGTGTAGGTACACCGCCTACTAAGTGAAATAATTATGAAAAAATAGACTGATAGCCATGTGGATCATCGTATAAGAGGAACAATAACTTTAGTTTTATTATTCCAAATGGGAAGATCATGAGTGATAGGTACATGGCGAACATAAAAGACAGATAGTTTCTGTACGAGTAGCTGAATTCGAAAAAATATGTTCCTATCTTAGATTCCTCAATATCATGAGTTATTTTCGAAGGTTTCCATCTTAACTCAAACAAGCTATTGCCAACCTGCAGACATTGATCAGAATATCGAAACATTTTGAATAATATCGGTTTACTAATAATCTTTAAATTTCAAAGCCTTACCAAGTTTCGATATATCATCGAATTCATGTCACAGCCAACTTATTTTTTTAGAATGAAAAGCAATTTAACAGCGAATTAAGAAATAAATGACACTTTGTGATACATGGTTGGAAAGAGAATTTGAAGGCGAAAAAGATATACTGAAGAAATGTACAGGGTGACATTTAAAAAAAAAGTTGGTCACTTTCGGTCAAACAGGTGGTTGATAAAAATTGTCGTTAAGTTCGTAAAGTGCGCTACCTGTGAATTTCAAAATTGTATCTCTTCAAATAAAAAAACTACAGGCTGCTACATGTCTCCTGTGTCACTCGGTATATTCATATATATGATCGCAGGAAAAATAGTGTACACAACTCGTTGGAAAGTGCATTTCCTGCGCTGGTAACGTTTCCGCACTCGCCGCCATGCGAAATATGTCACTTTCCACAATAGCTATGTAATATTACTACGACGTTACAAAAATTGTGTGAAACATTATGCTGGAACCTCTCTAGGCGAACAAGGATGGAATATTATCCAATGATGAACATCGATGTACCTAGAATCAATCGCTGAATCCTGTGCTGATTGATTATCATCCACTGATGAGCCTGTATTTCCAATCAGGCCTTTTTGGCACTTCACTTAATTTAAAGGGTCTTTGCCTTCTCTAACAGGTCATTGATGAATTTCTGCAACAGAAAACAAAATTGGAATCAGGAAGTATCACACTTTTCAATTATTAGAGTAGAATGATTTCGTGTTTTGATTTCGTATTTTATTCTGGATGTGTGAAAAACCTCAAAAATGATTTGTAAATGTTGACATAGTTGCTGCTGAATGTCTTTGGCAAAGGTTTTATTTGCTCTTTAGTGTTACAATAATTTTGCTCTTGTTTGGGAAATATAAATTGAAGTTGTGAATGTTTGGAAGTAGCTCTTCTCGTTTACTTACTTTTATGTCTGTTTGGGGCCCTTTGGCATTTATGAGGAGTTTCTGCAAATGAATGAATATATAGTTAGTCAATTTATATGTTGAGAATCAAATTTATTAATTTGACAAGAATCAACAAAATTAAACTGTTTTTTTTTTGTTAATGAGAAGAGATCGAGTTGCGTAACGGACATGTTTTAATAATTTTTTATCCCATTGGGATCAAATAAGTAGAGGATTTCGAATGTAGCTGCTGAAACTGGAGATGAAACTGGTGTGGAGAATATGCGGTTAGGTGATGAAGGGAGTCAATAACAAAACCTACATCGAGGCCTACATGATAACACTGTGTAAAAGTGAATATCAATTCATATCTGGATTGCTGTACTGCAACTGAATTTGAATTGTGATTCTACAATTAATTAGAAATATCGTTACAACTTTTATAGTGTTGTTGACTTTTGGAAATTAATGAAATGTCCGTTGCGTGGTCAAAACTACGAAAGCGCTGAACAGACATAAGAAGATGTTTTTTAACATTTGCAAGATTTATCTGTCAAGCTAATTGTTGTAAGTTCGATCTAATAATTTGGGCCTAATTGCAACACCGATCTGGCAATTACTGCTTAGTTAATAAATCGATATTGCAATTAAGCTTCCGTGCAATTAGTGCTTAATTGTCAAATTGATGTTGCAATTACGCTTACCTAATGGCCAGCTCGATCTGTCAATTAGTGGTCAATTGTCAGATCGATGTTGCAATTATAAGCTTAAGTGCAAGATCGATCAGTCAAATAGACACTAATTACCAGATCGATGTTGCAATTATCTTGATTACAAGATCGATGTTGCAATCAAGTCCGAATTGTGATCGATCTTACAATTAGCTCAATTGACATATACATAGATTACAGATACATCTTGCGAATATAAAACACAATTTCGTTGTGCCCGTTCAACAATTTCGTTATGCCCGATTGCCCGTTCAGCACCTTCGTACTATACGATGAAAGAAAATTGTAGATACGAACTTTTTGAATGTAGAAATCTATCATTAAATTCCTGTTAGTATGTGAACAAAATTTTAGGATAAAACTTAATTGAGTTATTATCGATGATCCAATTAGGGCAAAAATGCCGCTTTATGGATCTTCACTTTGAATCACATGAAAATAAAACGAAATAGGCTTAGAAATCAAACACACGTTTCAAGTACTGTAATAGAACATAACTCGTAAGTACATCTCCGAATCAGAAAAGTGAAATACCCTGTATATCAAAAAAGTCGCAAAAACACAATGGAAGAAAAATGTTACCAACTTTTTGAATCATACTACATAACTAATTTCGTCGCATCCCAAAATTTTGCCTCTGTTGAAATATAAATAACTTTTTTCTGCTTCCAACGATCACACTGTTCGCTAGCAGTCCTTCAGCTAAAATCTCATGATTCTTTAAAACATATGGTTCTTCACATGAAATCGATACCTGAAACTGTGTAAAATTTCGGAAATTTCAAAAGTATCCCATATGGAGAAAAACTTTTTTTTCATCTTTGACAGTAGTGGCATGTAGATGATCTCATTATCTTGGGACAGTTCTCGAATTGTCTCCTTATCTCTTTTATTTACAGAGTGACCTCAAAAAATTAACTTTTTGGTTTTGCAGTCATAACTTTCCTCGTCAACCGATTTTTGTAACCTCAGGCTCATTTTGAAGCTTGAACTTCAGATGAAGAGATATGAAGATCAGCATTGACTCAAGATGAACATTATACAGTGTGTCTCACTTATAATGGAAGCACCCCTGTACCTTGCGTAATTGTTGAGTTAGGATTCTCAAATTTGCAAAAGCCGTAGATATACTGAAAATACACACTATGACCAAGTGAAGTCGTCCCCAGTGATATACACTGCTCGCCAACAGCCATGGAACCACCCACAAAAATGATATAAGGAGGCAAGATAGGTTGAAAATCACTTCGGATTCAAAATCAGGACGTCCCTCTCGCTTCCTCCTGCAAATTTCAGAACCCTGCCTCAATAATTACGTGAGATACGGGGGTGCTTCCATGAGAAGTGAGGCAAAAGTTAATTTTTCTAAACTAAAAATTTTGCAGGAAAAATATGTATAGTCAGTGAATTGGACGTCCTGATTGGCTCGTAATAACATTTTCCTGAAATTAAGATGGTTCCATGGCTGTTGGCGAGCAGTGTTTATCACTGGAGATGACTCCACTTGGCCATAGTGTTTATTGTCAGTATATTTCCCGCTCCTGTAAGTTTCAGAATCCTAACTAAATAATTACGAAACATATACAGGAGTGCTTCCATTAGAAGTAAGACACACTGTATAATATTCATCATCATTCGTCAATTTTGATCTTCATATCTCTTCATCTGAAGTTACAGCTTCAAAATGAGATTTTAAAAAAGGATTGACAAGGAAAAAACTTATGACTGCAAAACCAGAAAGTAAATTTTTTTAAGTTGAAAAATAAAAGTTTTTGTTCATTTGGGATCCTTTTGTAAATTCCGAAATTTTTCACAGTTTCAGGTGACAACCTGTAGCGATTTCATATGAAGTCCTCATGTTTTAAAGAAGTACGAGATTATAGCTGAAGGACTGGGCTAGCGAACAGTGTATCCGAATTCAAATTGTTCAAAGCAGAAAAAAGTTATTAATTTTTCAACAGGGAAAAAATTTTGGGGTGCGACGAAATTAGTGTTGCGTAGTTTATTTTTCTCATGAGTCAAAAATATTTGAGATATGTTTTTTTCGAAAGGCTCATCCTGTATGTATAGGAATTTGGAATCTCAAATCCGTGAGTCACATGTGAACGTTTTTCTCATGTCGCCACTTTGTTCCCTACCTGTAAATGCCTCCGTCGTTCATCGTCATTATCCATATCTAAAAGTTCATCTATATCCACCTCCACCTCTTCATTATTTACACTCGCCAGTTGCGTCTGAAACAAAAAACAAAGAAGCTCCTTTTAAAATTAGTCATCGAGATACATTCACAAAGAGTTTGATTGCGCAGGTGTCTTCGACGGTTTACATGTTTGCACGAAACGTTGGAGTAGGCAAGACAAGATCTGACATGCTATTTAGAGTGAGAGGACACACCTCAGAGCGCTAACGGCTCAGCTCACCGGCAAAAAAAACCGGCCAGCAAAAAAAATAGCCAAATTGATCACCTAAGTAACACACGAGGAGCTTTAATTGCACCATAAGCTTCATAAAGATTTATTCTGGCAACGGGGAGTCATTAATCTATGTGGCAACTGATGAAGCTAATTGGCTACATTAAAGCTTCGTTTGTCACTAAATTGCTTATAAAGGGATTCGGTGGAATAAAATTGCTGATAAAACTCTCTCAGCGCTTGAATACGAGTCTGCTTTATTAAGGTATAAATAATTATGCACATTCATAATGAATTTCACAGCTTTTTAAAACTTTGAGCAGGAGTCTTTGGGCCTCGCACCAAATACTTCAAATCCATGGGACAATTCCCCAGCATTTTTCAAGCGGAAATACACGCCATAGGAAGATGCATCCAGTTCAACCTAGACAGGAAATACCGGAAGAAGGACATCGCGATTTTATCCGATAGCCAAGCAGCCATCAAAGCGTTGAGCTCTCCTTACATCAACTCGAAGATGGTATGGGAATGCCTGAGCAAATTGAATGAGCTAGGCAGCAACAATAAAGTGATCCTCCTCTGGGTACCAGGGCATATTGGAGTGGAGGGAAATGAACAAGCGGACGCTCTGGCACGACAAGGGTCTTCAACGCCACTGATCGGACCAGAGCCATTCTGCGGCCTTGAAAATTCCTATTTCCAAGGAGAACTTGAGAAGGCGGAAGGAGCCTGGAGAGCCAGACAATGGAGAAGACTTCCAGGACTACGGCAGGCTAAAGATCTCTGTGGAAATGTCAACCGAGAAAGATCTAAGACACTGACAAACCCCAGTAAAGGAAGTCTCAAAGCAATAACGGGATTTCTAACGGGGCATTGCAGACTCAAAGAACACCTAAGGAAGCTAGGCTTACAGGAGGACGGTACCTGCAGATTCTGTGATGAAGAACCAGAAACACCCCATCACATACTGATGGAGTGTGACGCTGTACATCACAAAAGATTGAACATACTGGGAACACACCAGCTGACTGTGGAAGAAATACCACAGCTAGACCCCCTCAAAATCCTAAAATTCCTGAAGGAATTGAATCTCGAGGGGCTGCTATGAACAAGAAATCCTTGATATAGCAGGAGCAGATGGGGCACAATAGATCTAATAGGGTCGCAGCGCATCTGTCACCATCCAACCTACCAATTGACCATTCTAGAACACGTGATTTTGACATGGTTCCTTGAGGGGCACACAAACTATCTGTTAGGTTACCTTTGATGTGCATAGCCCTAGCCATAGTGTCACCATGTTTCACCAAACAAAATTATGAAATTCTTTCTGGTTCCAACTCGAATTCCGAGGAATACGATCCCACTAATTCTGGTTTCATATGACAAATCTTGACAAAATACAATGTTTGCCCCTCAGCAACCTGTCAAATGACGTAGTTCTGGAATGATTAATACCAATACCAAATACCAATTGAGCCAAATGCCAACTATTCCTGACCTCACACAGTATACAATTAGAACTATCATTATATATACCGTATTCATGAATGATGTATGCTTGTAGAATAGGCGTGTTTTATAAAGCATTCATAAAACAGAAATTCTGTTTTGGAGTAAAAATTCTATTTGAACGACTCAACGTCAGAGCTCCCTAACCTCTGTTTCCAATTTCAACTCACTTTGTGGGCGAAAAATACAATGTTCTAGCTAATGGCAAGGCAACGTTGGCTTTTTCGTAGTTGAAATTACACCAGTCGGGCAACTAGCCACTCCCGAATGGGAATTTTGGTTTTCGAGTGTTTCTTTCCTTCTTTTATACTCAGATGGCGTTGCTCTCATATTGTCTATGGAGGACGCCTCTGAGGGAATATAATGCCGACTTGTTCTTTATTTGGCTAGTCTATGCTTAGTAGGCGGTCTTAGGACTGCTGGCTGGAGACTGCCCTGCAGTGATGAGAGTCAGAGAGCTTGAAATCGGTCTGTAGGTATCTAGACTGTCTGGTTTGGCCTGGCTAAATCGAAACCAATAGGCATTCGGGAAAGAATCACTTGTATCAGTATTCGTTAATACGAGTCGATGCATAGATTTCAGGATGATGTAATTCAATGTTCTGCGTGGCATTAACCAGGAAAGTAGTTGTTTTTCTCCCGGAATCTACTTTTGTTGTTCATTTTATGAACATTGTGTGGGGATGACTTTGAGATGTTTTGTATTTATTTAACATTTCATTCCACTTTGAGCAATATGGCTCTATTTCGTAGTTGAAGTTTTCATGATTTTTATGAGTAATCAGCAGCAGTTGATCAGGTGGTGAAATTTGAATATTATTATCAGCGTCAATTATTATTTCAACAAAAGGAATTTTCTGATATTAAATATGATATGAAATTATTATTGATAAGACTTTTTGTGTTTAAAAAACAACGGAAATAAATGTGACATATCTTGCCCTTCTAAAATAATGACAGTTCACTGAAGCCGCATCACTATACCTTATGATAGTTACCATTTTCTTGAGTCGAAATATTTGGAATGAATAGTATGTCTGCTCACAAAGTATCAGTCACTCTCAGTGATTTTTTTTGGATTTCGGAATGAAAAATCATCAGAATCAGTACTGTTAGTTGAATTTGGAATATAGCCATTGAGAAAGAAAATAAAAACTCGAAATTTCATATCCGAGTAGGTACCTATTTTAGTTTCCGATTCTGTGCTCATAATAATGGAGCATCGTAGTGGTTTGTTGACCTTGCCATCAACTATAACATAACAGATGACTGTTAGTCACTCTATAATTAAGTCGTTGAAGGTATGGACGTTGAAGACATGCTTACTACACACATGAATATTCCACCATATTGTGTTTGTTTATGTCGGTACGGGTACAATGAACGATTCGAGTATAGTGTGGGATGCTCGAAATATCTCTGGAAGCCAAACTCGATCCTGAGAGATAAATGCCAACAGTGCCAAAAACTGTTTCCAAATATACAGGCTGTTTCAGATTTTGACCGGGGAAAAATTGAAAAGCGATAGTATCCGCAAAAATAAGAAAACAATGTATGCAGGGTGTATCTAAATAACGCCGAAAAAATAAGGGGTGATTCCTTGTGATATACTAGCAAATAAACTTCATATAAACATCTGCCCTAACTTGCTCCGTTTTTGAGATACAGGATCTTGAAGTTAGCAGTATTAATTGTTTTTATTTCTAACCCCCCCCCCCCTGTATAAGCTTTCATGGTGCCAGAATTCAAGTTGGTTGGAGACTGAGAAAGCCCCAAAACTTTAAAATGATTGTGATTGGGGTTATTCAGTAATCTCAATGGAAATCTTAAAAACACCTACATTAAATTTGGAGTCAAATCGAATTTTTATTCATTATTCCAAATTTTTTGGGATTTTCTCTCCTCGTTTCTATAAAATAAAAATATTAATATTATTTCAATATACGTGTAGTAAGGACAAATCAGATGATATGCCCCAAAATGTCACTGCGTTTAAAGAATTTTCCTATCAGAGAGCCTAAAAGAAAAATTCACTAGCTTGTCAGTGACAATTTGTATTGAAAAATTTTTGGAGAAGAGAAATAAAGGTATATAGAAAAAATATCAAATTTTCACTTATCTTTGGACGTTTCGGGACCGATTCTGCTCCCGTTTTCAACATGAAGAGATTTTTTCAATTGCGAAGTCGTATAATATGTCTTGAAGCTTTTATTGTTTCCTCGAAAACTAAGCTTGATACAAAAAAGTTGTTATTTTCCCTAGAATTTTTTCGGTGTTATTTGGATACACCCTGTATAAATTTGTATAGTGCAGGGTGTCCCGCTAAGGTCGGCGAGGTACGATATTATGGCAACCATAAACCAACCTTAGAGCGTTACTATGAGGCAACGAGAAATTCGAATTATCTCAGAAGATAGCTCGGTAAGATAACTTTTTGATAACGAAAATGAATAGGTCATTAATTTATTGTTGTTTCCGTCTGTAGACTTTTTTTCGTTTCTTTGATAATAATGGTGGGGGAAGCTTGTGAGCAGAATATTTTTCAAATTGTTGTATCTTCCATTCCCCTAATCCAAATTCAATCAACTTGGGTTCGTTTGAGAAATAATTTTCAGGTAAACAATCGAATATCGTTGATTCAGGACTCGTTCGACTCTAGAAAGCGCCCAGCTAATCATTCATATTTGGATAAACCGTTGGAAACTATTATTAAACAATCATTTATGGTAACGAAATAGACTTTGGGTCATTTCAATTACGTCCCTGAGAAGTCTCCTGATCAAGTCTCCAGTCTGTTTTGTTACAGATCTAAACCTATTGAGTAATGGTAAGCTATTTTATACAGGGTGAGTCATGAGGAACTGTACATACTCCTACCACGAATAGAGGCCCCTGAGGGGTTATACCGAATGTCCGAAAGTGTCTTCTACACTTCTTTTTCAATATATAGGGTGAATTATGAGATTTGACAACAACGTCTTTTGGTCATAACTTTCCAACAGCTTCTTCAAATCGTCTGATTTTTTCATGGAACATTCTGCTACTACTATCTAATCGACTGACTTATTCAGAATCGGGAAATTCAAAGACCGTTCTTGAAAAATTTTGATAGTATAGTTTATAGCAAAAAGTTCATCCTGTATATCGTATTTGTGAACTGTGACAGGGAATTTTCGAGGGTCACAAACAAACATCAAGAATAAAATATTTCAAATTTTCCTCACACTTTCACTGCAGTTTGAAAATAGTTATTTATTATACAAGGGAAAAAAGTAGTAGATTTTAGCTCCAGGTTGTGTTGTCTTCCGACG